CTCTCTCTCTCTCTCTCTCTCTCTCTCTCTCTCTCTCTCTCTCTCTCCCCACCCCCTCCAGGTCCTTTGTTCTTGATGCATCCAAATGACATCTCCGTAAATACTGCAACAAGAACCCACCCAAAGAGGACTAGGAGCACCCCAAAAGACTCACAAAGCCCCCTGGGAAGACCGGGAAGCACTCCTACAGCCCTGGACGCAGCCTGGCACGAAGCCTCCAGAGGGCTGAAGAGAGCACTGGGTTGCCCTAGCGCAGTCAACTCAGTGGCCTCTGCCCGGCCTCTGCTGGAATCCTCCCACGTGGTCCTCCCAGGCCTGCCTCGGGGAGGCAGAGAGCTCCTCAGCAAAGGCCCTCCTGCCCCCCTACTCTGCGCTCCCTGCAGAGCTGGCTTGGCTTTTCCGTCAAAAGCCAGGCCCATCAGGCTGGAGGCGGCGATGTGTCAGCTGGTATTCAGGCTTTGGTTGTGCGCTCAGAGCGCTCCCCCTCCCCAGCTCCCCAAATCCACCCACCCACCCCTTTACCCACTGCTCAGGGCCTTCTGGGTGGCAGTACTTCACACAGAGAGAAAGAGACAGAACCGAGGAGCCAGCAGCCTAGAGCCCTGGCTGTGGGGGGTGGGGGCTGACTCACTTGGCCCCCTCCCTGGTGCCGATGGGGCAGCCCCCACACCCCTGGGCGCTGGCACCGAGTCAGGCCCCACAGTTGGGAAGAAGGGAGATGCAGCTCCGCTGAGCCTGACCCGAGTCCGCTGAGGATGCACCCCGAGCTCAGGGACGGGTTGGTCCTTGGGCCGCCAGGCGATGTGTAGGCAGCGACCCCCCACAGCAGGCTCACTCCGGCGGCCGCCTGCTGGGGCCATCCTGGCTGCGGGCCCGCCGGGACACCCCTGTTCGCCGCGCCCCTCCCCAGGCCGAGCTCATCCCCGGAGCCTCGCAGTATTTCCTTCCTGCACCTTTAAGAAGACCGTTGCTCCGTGGTGGGATGGTGTGTTAAAGCCACACAGAGGAAGTTACGCAGCCCGGATCAGACAGGGAGATAAAAGCCCCGATGGTGACCGTGAGTGATGGCAAGAGGATTTAGCCTCGGCATTAACTTGGAGCGGAGTGCAGGGGGGCGGTGAGGCGCCCCGCCATCTGGCCGGCGCCGCGCCAGGGGGATGCTCAGGCGCCTGGACCAGCAGCAGCGAAGCCCACCCAGGCCGGGGGCTGAGTGGGGCGCGCGTGCAGGTTCTCCCCTGGCTGCCCAGGGGGCCCAAAAGTTTGCACTTGTTAGCAGCGACCTCCCGATCGGCCCGGAGGGCGATGCAAGCGGCGCGGTTAGCCCCCTTCCCTGACCCGCGTCTTCGGGACGGCTGCGGGCGGGCCCCCCGGCGGCCCGAGGGTTCCCCAGCCCAGATCTGACCGTGGCCACCGCAGCGGCGGCGCGGGGCAGGAGTCTCCAGCTCTCAACCCTGCGGCTCCTGCGCCCACCCAGCACCCGCCAGAGGGTGGCGGTCTCCGGCCTCTCGGGGCTCGCTCCGGGAAGCTGCTCCGAGCCCGGGTAAGGCGAGCGGGGAGCGCCAGGGCGGCGGGCGGGGACGGAGGCGCCGCAGTTTCGCCAGGGTGCTTTCATTTTGAAAAGGCTTTGGTGATGGTGCCAGTTCTCCCCGGGCCGGGGAGTCACTCCGAGCCACCCAGCCGAGGCTCGGACGCCAAGTTATCTGGTGGCGGCTGCTACTAAAGGAGGGCTGGAGCCGCGGAAGAGGGGTGTGTGTGCGCGCCGGGTGCAGTATCTTTAAGAAGTAGAGTAGCTAGTCTTCTCTCTGGGATCCCCGCCACCCAGCTCGTGTTTTTTCTATCCTGTGCGCCTGTGTGGGGAGAGGATGGGCTGTTGCAATAACGCTGCTTACTTGTGTCTCTGAAAAGTAGATTAACCCTTCTCTGCTGGCGCTCCCCTCCTTAATTTAGTCGCTTCCGGGCTCTAAAGGCGCAAGGAGAACTCTTGGCCAGGCAGGTTAGAAACTTCCTTCGGTGCTGTGGAGGGGGTCGGCAGGTGGAGAGGGGGCTCCGCCACCGTGGGGAGTCGCACTCCAGAGGGAGCAGAAGCAGCGGGAAGGCGGGAAGCGGACTCCAGATCTTGGGTCCGCCGGCCACGGAGTAAGTTACGGGTCTGGGCTGAGGGGTGGCGGCGACAGGGTCTCCGCGGAGCAGCGGCGCCGGGAAAAAGAATGCAAATAACTCCCAGTAGCTTTGCTCGGTGTCTTTTAATTAAGGGAGGTGATGTCAAATGAGGGGGCAGCCTGGATGCTAGCCTGGCCTTTATTAAAGGCGTGATTATTAATTGAGCCGGTGATTTGTACTGAACTTCGGAAAGGCAAAATGCGGCGGCGGTTTGTGCTCTGTGTGCGGTGCACGCCACTGTCTACGCGCCCCAAGCTCAGCGCGGACTCAGCCAGACTACTGGGTGTCTGCAAGTCTCAGGCTAGCCCCGCCCGTCCTCGGGGATCTACACGCGGCGGCCTCAGCTACACGTCCTCAGAGCTGGGTGCCCTGCCCCGCCCCCAAGAGCCTAACTTTTTGGGGCCCTCCCAGCCGCTGTGAGGGTGACAGGGAGAAACCAGAGTCTGGAGAAAGCTCCCTTCCCAGAACTGGGGACACCGGGACGCCCGAACCCGAACGAACACCAAGGTAGCGGTGAGCGTGGGGAAACCCAGGGTGCGGTGGGGGCGGGGGGGAGGTAACCGCCGGCCCGTAGGGTTCCCCTTTCTTTCCCGATTCTTCCTACGGCCTCCAAAGCAAGTTTCACGCACCCTTCTACCCTTTGTCCAGACTGGGTAGAAGAATTAACCTCCGGTGGACTTCCCCCTCCTCCCCACGCCTTCCCCCCTCCCATCCCCAGGGACCCTGCGCCCCGCAGAGGCAAGTTTTCCACAAGGAGAGCGCACAGCTCGAGACTCCGGCAAGAGCCTGTTGGCAGCCCGGCCAGCTCGGGAAGGCGCTAATTCAATAAGACAGAGAAATCTGAGTTCAGAAATCCTGATAAAATCTAATTTTCGAGTTTTAATACCCAGGCTATCAGACCCCACCCCCTCGGTTCCTGAAGACTCTTAAAAGAAAATAAAGCGCATTGATTCCATTTGTTTCAGAGAGCTGCAGTTTCTTAATAATATCAGGTGAAGATTTATTTTCCAAGGAGAAAACGATCCGCGAGGATGCAACCTCTTACTCGGAATTTCTCCCCTGCCGGCTCCTCACTCCCTGCTATCCACCTCGTTTTTTCCGCGGACTCTTGCCTGAGTCCCCCGCCCTTTATTTTCTTTTTGGCAAAAATCTACTGTAATTTTTGAGTGCCGAGCTCACAGTGCCCCCTCGATGCCAGCAACGCCCAACTGATTGACGGGTTGTAAACACATTTTCCCCTGGCAGATTTTGTTGTTCCCCCACCACCACCCTCATTTTCTAGGGAATGTGTGGTGCTTAAGCCAACAAAATTGCAAAGCAATTAATAGATTTGCAAGTTGCCCTGCTTGCTGCTCGCTGGGGCTCCGGCCTCAGGGCCTCGTTGCCTCCCCACCTGGGCCAGAATCCAGTGCTGTCCCAGCCAGGAGCAGCCGCTGGCCCTGCAGATGAAGCCGGCAGCTGGGCCCGCCTTGAGAGCCGCAGCCTGGCGCTCTGGTCGTCCCCAGCCGTCAGGAGCGCCCTACCTGTTAGTGAACAGTCGGGAGCCGGCTGCTGGAAGAATTAATTAGGGGCATGCTGTTTTCTGGGCAGCTCAGAGCTTGGCTAGAAACGTCCAAACCATTGCCGGGGCCCATGCTACTTTATTTTTACTACATTTTCTCTGATTAGGAAAAAAATAGACGCTTGGTCATGTTCTTCCAGAGAGTTTTCTAGCAAGAAGCGAGCCCTGGGCGGGGTCTAGAGCAGGTTTCTGTTTAAGCGGTCAGAGGAGAGGTGTGAAGTGTGGTCTGGCTGGGTTCTCATCCATCTATATTAGGAGTCCTTCATCCCAAGAGGGGGCAGGGGCCGTCTTAACCTAGATGGATGAGGCCCACTGCAGCCTGCAGCAGAGCACTGACTGGGGGCTTATCTCTGAGCTAGGAGCTCTCAGCAGCCAGGCTAAACCAAAATGTCCCATCCTCCTGCTTGTCGTTTGTGGGCAGGAATGTGCTGTGTCTGAGTAGCAATGTCTCATGTAAACACAATTAACTCCTCTGGGACTTGTGGTATACAATGGCTGACAGGGGCTTCCTTCAGGTGAGAGTCAGGCGGCCATATGTGAGGTTTGGGAATTTAAATGCAGCAACTGTGAGCATTATACCCAGAATAATTAATAACACATACTTTATTTATTTATTTACTTACTTACTTCCTTGTTTTCTACATCCATCACAATAACCTTTGTCCCCCTTAGCCAGGGTTCTGGTGGGGATCTCATGCTGGCCGGGACTCTGACTCTCCCATGTAGCATACTCCTGGGAGAATACACTAGAGTCTGAGAGTCACGTGTTTCTAGACACAGTACTCTATTAGCTATATCTATTTTTGCTTTTAAATGATTACTGCTGGCTTAAAATAGATGCTACTCTCCTAAAATGATTGAAACTGTTGGCCTTGGTCAGAGTCTAACGCAACAAAACAAAGCATCCCTGTGGAAGCTTACAGCATCCCAGTCTCTCGCTGTTAACTCATTTAATTCATGGCTTCACAGGGTGTGGGTGACAGGGAGCGGATTGTGGGTGGCCCACACAGAGACCTCCCTATTGGGCTGTAGCAGTAGGAGCACAGTCTGCTCAGTTGGATGCTCAGGGCCTCCTGTAACAACGTGGACATTTTGACTGGTCTGGCCTAGTGTGTTAAAGCAACTGTTAAGCCTTAGCTCCTGGGAATGCTTTAGAAAGTTCTTGATCCTCAAGAAAGGCCACTTCTACTGAACAAATGTCCCTACAGACGATGAGGAGATACACCACCTTTTTAATAGTGTGCCCATCTCTAAACATGTAACTCATATATTAATAAGAACAAAATAGCCCAGCTTTCTCTGGAGACTGCATTAATGCAACCTATTTTTTGTACACATTTTGCCAGACAGCTTTTGTTCTTCGGTGTCTCTAACTGCACCCCCGTTAATTTGTTGCAGGTGCTGCTGATGAACACATTCTCTTTCTTCTCTCTTCACAATGAAAGCCAAGCCAGAGCCCAGGTACCTGGATGAAGTGAGAGTTGAAGTCTCTGGGATTTCACAATAAGTGGCCGATGGCTACTAGCCAAGGTCAGCTGCCCCCAATTTGGGCCTGCCCCCCACCAGAGCAGAGGCAAATGACCTCTCCAGTTAACACTTCAGTGGCTTTTTTATAGTCCAGTCACACGGTCATTGTCACTTTCAGCCCATATGAAAAGAAATCTTTTTTTATTGGTCTGAGAGACCAAGTCCAGTCCCAAAGAGGGGTCTCGTTTCCAGCTAACACGCACACCTCCTGATTTCGTGTTATCTTCACCATGCAGGCTGCTATGCAGTTGTGTGGAGCATGCTGCACATTAAGGGCTCTTTAAAAACCCGGATTGATTGGAAGAACAAAAATTAAAAGCAATCTGATCCAGCCCCATGCCGGATCCCTGCGGATTCCCTCCTTATCCCATTTCCACCATCCATTGTCACAATTTGAGAGTCTGCCCGATTTGATCAGCTTCACCTCCAGGGGAGGTGTAACACCAAGGTTAGGAGGACGCCAAGTTACAGGCAACTTTTTGATCTGCCCATCAGCAGCCTGAGAAACGCTGGCTCTGGATTTTCTGTATAAGCCATTTGGAAAGCACAAGCTCCCACCGTTGGCAGACCTGCAGTGTTCAAGTCAATGGTACATCCCAGCCACCGTCGCCTGGTAGATGTGACATTTCCATGCTGAGGTCCCAAGTGCCCCCTGACCCCACCACCACCTCACCAGCACCCCTCTGGGCCCCACCCATTTGGACTGCGCAGCCATGCTGCGCCTGCTGGCCCTCTTCCTGCACTGCCTCCCGCTGGTTTCTGGGGACTATGACATCTGCAAATCCTGGGTTACCACAGATGAGGGCCCCACCTGGGAGTTTTACGCCTGCCAGCCCAAGGTGATGCGCCTGAAGGATTATGTCAAGGTCAAAGTGGAGCCCTCAGGCATCACGTGCGGAGACCCCCCTGAAAGGTTCTGTTCCCACGTAAGTCAGCCCACGGCTTCTCTATCACTGAATTGAGGGGTGGGGGACAGTGTGTAGAGACAGACCTGGGGGTGGCTGAGCAGAACCAGAGGGCCCTGCCTGATACAAGACCAACTCCAAGTCCCACCATGGAAAAGTGCCAAAGTCAAGCTGCTCCGAGGACCCTAGGGGTTGAGTGACATTTTGTGGGTGGAAGCATCTTGGCCAGCTGACCCTGGCATGGTTTCTTGCCAGGGATTGCACAGCAGTCGTAGTTCCTTGACTCAAAGCCAACCCCTCCTCCTTTGCAGGAAGTCAGCACTCAGACCAGAGATCTGCATGCTATTTGCAAGGTTACCCTCCAACCTGCATGGTTTCACCCTGCCCCAGTGGCGTACCCTCCCAACCTGTCCAGTCCAGTCTAGTGCATAGACAGCATCTCGATCCCAGCTCATACCAGGCACCCACCAGGCATTTTGCAGAGGACAATTTCTGGGAGGCTTGGGAAGGAATGTCAAAGGCGGAAGCAGTGCTCAGGGGTGATCAGGCTGGATAGATAGTGCAGCATCTTAGCTGGTGCTATCCCCTAGTCGAGAGGTAGGTGCTCAGGCCTTGTCACCCCTTAGTTAGAGAAGAAGGGGTCTTGGAGCTATCGGGAGCTTCAATGCTTAGGCACTGTTAATGAGGGCAGTGGGAAGAACAGTGTTTGACAAGAGCCCGGAATGTGGGCTCTAAAGCCCAAGCAGTGTTATTCTATTGGGCTTCCCCCTGGGCTCCACCAGGCTGATTCTACCTTAAACAATGCCAGAATGTTGAAATGGGGTGAAATGTTGAGACAGGTCTCAGACTGGTGTCACCATCTCCGGGTTCGGCTCTGTCAGCTGTAGGACGAGTGTAGTAACACAGTACATTAAGAGGTCAATGGCTCTCTGGATACATGTTGTTCAAGATCAGACTGGGCACAGAGAAGGTGTCCCAGATGTTTGTTTGTTCTGGTCCTACGGATAGGGTAACTGAGGTGGGGGTGGGGGCTTCCAGGAAGGCCCTTGGCCAAGGTCACACAGCAGAAAGTGGTGAAGCTGCCGAGTTACGCTTGGCCTGCCAGACGCAGCAGCCTGTTCCTGGTGGAGGCTGGGAAGAACAGCCAGAGGAGCAGGCGAGAGGGGGTCCGATGTCACCCTGTAGGTGGCTGGTGCCTCTGAGTGTCCTTGGGGAAAGCTGGGCTTATTCCACAGTCAACCTGGTGTCCCCAGCCCAGACTCCTGAAAATGTTTCAGTCCCTTGGGGTGGCTTCAGTCACAGTGCAGAGCAGCTAGCTTGGAAAGGTAGATCCCCACTTGGGCTTGTCAATGGTGATGAGGCTGTCACTGTGGGTGGTAGCTGGGTCTGAGCCAGCTTGGAGAAGGGGAGGGAGTGAGGGAAGGAGAAAGAGAGAAGACAGCCCAGGGCTAGGAGCCAAGACTGGATTATGTATGGACATTGTCGGCACTGAAAGACCACGCTGGCTCGAGGCAGGCAAAGGCCCTGAAAGTTAGGGCTGAGGCTATAGGGAATCCCATTCTGCATCTATACCTCAGCTCCTGTGGGAACTGCTTCAACCACACATTTCCCAGGCAGAGTCTCAACATGATTTTGTCTTTTAAATATTAATCATTTCCCGGGTTGGGGACAATTCATGGAAACGGCTTCTACTCAAGGGTGTAGGAGCTATAGATGACCACCAGAAGCAAATACGGGGCCTTCTCCTGGCTTGTGACCTTGATGATGCTGAGCTCTGGGGTCTGGATGGGTGGGAAGTCCAGAAGGCGCCCTCAGCATTTTACTACTTGCTTGATGGCTGCAGACATTCCGTGACAGGCAAGCACAGCTTTGCCTTTGATTACAAGTGTGAGACTAGGGACAGTGTCGTGCCACAGGGGCAGGTGGAGGGACCGCGAGGTATACCCCAGTCTAATCCCCTTTTCAAGATTAGAAAGATTGCTTAAGTCATGCCAAGGTCAAGAAGCTTAGCAGGCAAGCCAGAAACTCGTCTGTGGCCAGAGTGCATGCTTACCCACCAGGGTTCGTGGCTTCCCTCTCTAAGCCTCGGTTTTCTTCCTGTTTCAATAAAACACGATATTGTAGGTGTATCACTGCGCTGGCAGGGAGACAGCTGGGCCAGGCACTAGCAAGCGCAGGGGAGTGCTTTAATGTGCAATGGCCGTAATTATCTTACGTCACCATTGTTATTACTCCCTTGGTGGCTGCCTGGGTTTCTCTGCTTCCCTGGAGTATATTGCTTCACTCCAGCCTTGACCACATCCGGTCTGCACTTCTTGTCTACAGGCAGCAGGTGGTAGATGAACACCCTAAGCCAGAGCAGGTGTGCCTAACTAGCCAGCAGAGGGCACCCTGGTGGCAGCCAGACCACCCAGTGCCCTCTTGGTCTTCTAAGCTAGCTCTTCCCCACTCTCTGGCAATCCTCCTGTCCCAGCATCCAGACAAACAGAACATGAACCCCAGAACACCCCTAGAGTACAAGACAGGACAAAAGGGCAGTTGTCCTTTTCAGTCCCAGGTTGCAGCCCATTTTCCCAGGTTCCTGTCCTTCAGCAAGGCCACTAGAGAACTGAATTGTAAATTCCAGCCTGGTGAGGAAGGGGAGGGGATAAAAGACAAGAAAAATGAATAAATAAAAACCTATCGGCTCTAAGCGCAGGAGGAAAATGAATAGGGATGAGCTCTCGGCAGAGGGTTCTTGGGCGAAACTTCAATGAGAGCTGAGGGTCAGGAGGGAGCCCCAGAGGGCACGGAGGAGGAGGAGGGGAGGGAGGAGGGGGAGGAGGAGGAGGGAGGGGAGGAGGGGGAGGAGGGAGGGGAGGAGGAGGAGGAAGGACTGAGTGTGCCCAGACATCTTGCAGCCTCATTGCCAGAGTGTGGTCCCTGGCCCCCAGCCTCACCTGCCTGAAAGACAGACACCCAGGCCCTGCCCCAGACAGGCTAAGCTAGACTGTAGGGCATGCAGACAAAGGCAGGGGCTGGCCTATGATGGAACACTTATTCTGAAGGCTCAGGAGGCCTGCAGTTTCCTTGGCATCTCTACAGCTTAAGAGGAGTGTTGATCACTGCTCAGGGAACAGAGGAGAGAGAGAGGGACCCAGGGGTCCTGAGAGAAAGGTTTGGGGTCAGGCAGAGGTCATTTGGGTTGCAACCTTGAACAGCTGGTTGGAATGGTACTAAGACCAGGGTCTGTGTGAGTGAGACAGTGCCTGCTTCTAGGGCAGAGATCTATTTTGGTGACAGCTAGAGACCTGGAAGCACATCTTAGCATTACTACTTTGGGCTCCGTGATCTGGAATAAGCCATTCAAATTCTCCACACTGGGCAATGGATGTGGTTCAGCTGCTGGAGTGCAGAGCATTCACAAAGCCCAAAGTTCAGTTGCTGACAGGTGTTGTGGCAGGAGGACCAGAAGTTCAAGGCCAGCCTGAGCCAGATGAGATCTAGTCTCAATAGACAAAGGTGGGGCTGGAGAGAGGGCTGGCTGTGCTTGCTGAGGAGCCAGGGTTGATTCTTAGCACCTGCATCACGGTTGACAACCATCTTTAACTCCAGTTCCAAGGGATCGAACGCCCTCTTCTGGCCTGCATGGCCACTGCACACATGAGGTACCCAGGCATTCATGCAAGCAAAATACAAAATACCCATACACATAAAATACTTTTTTTTTTTTTTTTTGGTTTTTAAAGATAGGGTCTCTCTGTGGTCCCTTGACTGTCCTAGAACTTGTTCTGTGGACCAGGCTGGTCTCAAACTTGGAGAACCACCTGCCTCTCCCTCTCAAGTGCTGGGTTTAAAGTCATACACCACCACTGCCCAGAATAATTTTTAACTGAAAAAACAAAAAACAAAACAAAAAAGCTGGGCTTCGGGGCACATGCTTTTAATCCCAGCACCAAAAAGGCAGAATTAGGTGGATCTCAATGAGTTCAAGACCAGGTTGGTCTACATGTTGAATTCCAGATCAGCCAGTATTATAAAGTGAGACCCTTTCTCAAAAACAAAACAAAGCAAAACAAACAAAGGACCACTGTCTACGCCTCAGCTTCTCCAAAAGCCTGCTTGCCCACTTCATCACCTGCCTGAATAGGAAGCACGTCTTAAAACCTGCAGGTGCTTAGTCAGAACTGATCTGACCGTTAGCCTGTAGCTCATCCCATTATCTTGAGTTTTCCATGTTGAAATGTGTCAACATCCAATCTGTCTAAGAAGCCTCCAGAGATACGACAGTTTACAGTCTCACACCGGGTAAGCTTCAACACGGGATGTAACCTTGAGTCCTCAGGGTGGAGCTCCTAGGAGACCACACCCAAGACACTGTCACCAGTACTTGCTTCATAGGACTCTAACAAGAGAGTCTCCCATCAGGCAGTGGTGGCATACACATTTAATCCCAGCACTTGGGAGGCAGAGGCAGGTGGATCTCTATGAGTTTGAGGCCAGCCTGGTCTGTAGAGTGAGTTCTAGGACAGCCAGGGCTACACAGAGACCTTGTCTCAAAAAACCAAAATGGCAGCAGCAGCAGCAGCAGCAACAACAACAAAACAACAACAGCAACAGCTACAACAACAATGGAGTGCATCTCTCTTGTTTTCATGCCTGAGAATGGTTTGTTGGACAAATGGATGGATGGACAGAGGGATGCCATGGTCCAGGAAGGCTTCCTGGAAGAGGAGGGATGAGTGCTGAGCCTTGAGGAAAACTCAGAACTTCGACCAGGATCCAGGGAAACTGGAAGCACTCACTTTTCCATACCCCTGATGGCTGTAGGATTGATCAACTCTGCTTTAACTCAATTTCAATGTCTTGGAGTTGCCAGCACCAGCCTTTGGCCTTCTAGGTCAAGAAAAGATCCTAGGAGGGCATCTTGTTGCACAGAGAAGTCTCCTGCTATGGACAGACAGGAAAGGATGGAGCTGTGCTGCCACTGAATGCCAGGCCCATGGAGGTCATTGATGCTTCTGACGTTTCTGATGGGAAAC